GACATGAAGGCGCAGGAGCCTCAGAGAGCCTGGCCGGGAGGGGAGGATGCCCGCACCTGGTTGACTGAGGCCTCAGGATCCCAGAGCAGGAGCAAAGCTCTTGAAAGGGCTGGGTGGCCCCGGGCGAGGGGGTGGGAGGAGGGGCTCCAGAGAGAGCGGGTACCCCACGGCGCTCAGAGGCTCGGCTGGGTCAGGGGCAGAATGGGTGTCTGGACGGGCGTCTGAGATGCGCAGACTGTGGGTCAAGTCAGTGCACTGCGTGTTCTGAGAAGGGAATTTACGGGAACGAAGTTGCCCCTCCCCCAGGGAGATGAGGCTCCCTGAAGGTCCAGAGGAGCCGGCCACAGGAGCCGTGGGCCTCCTCAGAGTCTCGTCTCACCTCAAGCTTCCTTATGCCCAAGCACTCCAGACCTGCCCTTCCTCCCTCCCCAGGCCCAGGTACAGCCACTGGAGGTGGGGCCACAGTCAGCCCCCATGCCCAGCCTGCAGTCCTGGCAGGAGGGAGGCAGGCTGATAGAGAAGGGGCGGGGGGGGGGGGGGGGGGGGGAGCTCTGGGGTGGCTTGTGGACATGGAGGAACACAGGTTGCCTGAAGGCCTTTTCCCTCAGATTCTGGGCCCTCCCTTCAGCACTCCTACCCCCAGGCAGAAGGAAAGGCCCAGAGAGGAGGAAGCCCAGCGAGCGGCCTCCAGGCACCCACGGTGAACACTGTTCTCCCCCCTAACTTGTCCCCTCCCCCTTTCCCTCTTCCCAAGAGCCCCTGCTCTCTTTGGGGTGACCTTGGTAGGACTCCAGAGCACAAGACAGGTACTTAGGAGGAGGGCCCTACTTCTGAGAGTCTGGGTGGCCAAAGAGAATGATGGACATCACCTCCAAACCCCTAAAACCTGGACGAGATGGGGGTTAAACCAAGAAGCTGGGCTGCTTGGCGGTGGGGTGGGCCTGCCGCCCTCTCTCACCCCGGTCTGGCCTCTTAGATGCCTCTGCCCTGCCAGGCTGGGCTGCATCCGTCCCCATCTTGCCGGCCCTCCTCTGCTCCTGGTTGCCAGCATCCAGCCTGGCCCCTCATGGGTGCTGGATGACTGTCTGTGAATTGAGCCGAGCCGTCTGCGTCATTAAGGCACCTGGCTCCCGTCAGCACTATGCGGCATTTGCCTGGAGATGGGGCCATTGTGTTCTCCATCCAGAAACTCTGTAGGGAGGGAGAAGATGTTGCCTTTGCAAGCTTCCTGTTAACTGTCACCCTGACCTTAAAGGCTGGAGACGGTTCTGGTGACCAGGGAAGGAGGAGGGAGAAATCACAATGCGATACAAACTGCGGCTGACACGTGTCAGGCACAGCGCAGTGGCTCCACGCGCATGCTGCAGTCAGACTGCTGGGTCTGCACCCCTCCTCCACCCACTCAGCTGGGGCCAGCGGCCTGTCTACCCTGTGCCTCAACTTTCTCACCGTAAAACGGGGATAAGGAAGCGGGGCGTGAGGCTTTCGTTAGTTCGTGCAAGAAAAGCCTTTAGATCAGGGCCTGGCGCTGAAGGGGTGGCGGCTTTTAGGTGGTGTCTGCTGTGTGCCCGGGGCAGTGCTAAGTGCTGGCATAGAGTCCTTAAGCCTTAGACCCGTCTGTGAGGCAAGTTCCATCAGGAGCATCTCTCCTGAGCAGTCTAAGGTCTACACAGCTGGTGAGAGGCAGAACTGGGATCCGAAGCCGGTTTTGCCTGCCTCCAGAGACTCTCCTCCCAAAGCTCGAGAGAAAGGGGAGGAGCTCAAGCCGTGCCTGCTCCCCCTGCACATCGATACCCACGTGCCCAGGACATGCCTGGCATGGCGCTGGGGGCTGAGGCCACAGAGGAATGGGCCACAGACCACAGGAGGCAGCCACGATCAGGTATTTATAGTCCAGAGTGGTGAGCTGAGGCAGAGGTGGGCCAGGGTCCTCCTGGAGCTGACTGGAGGCACTTAGCCCAGCCCAAGCACCCAGGATGGCTTCCTGGAGGTGACAACACTGGGCTGAGCTTTTGCTTAAATTTACTTTATTGGGGTATAATTTATGAATAACAAAACACACCCGTTTTAAGTAAACAGTTCAATGAGTTTTAACAAATGTACATACCTGTGTAACCAGCACCCCAATCAAAATACAGAACGTTTCCATTACCCCAGAAAATTCTTTCATGCCCTTTTTCAGTCATTATCTCCCACCCCACTCCAGGCAAGCATTATGGCTGAGCTTTAAAAGATGAGCAGGAACTAGCTAAGAAAGGGAGATGGCAAAGGCACAGAGAAGTCTGTGATTGTGATTGTAGGAAGCTATGAGCAGCTCCTGGTTATTGGAGTCGGAGGAGCAAACCAGGAGCTGAAGCCAGAGATGTGAGGAGGGGCCCGTCTCTGGACCAAGGATCACAAACCCAAATGCCAAAGAAGCCAAACATGAGACATAACTAAGGGAAGCAGGGTGTGTGGGAAAGAGCAGAGGAAGCCCAGTGGTGCTGAGGGGCAATAGGGAGTGGTGGTGACTGTGGCCAACTGGAGCTTCTCCTACTCAGCCCCTTTGTGCTATTGCCTGCAGAGATTTGGGCCCAGTGGGGCCATCTGGTTTTGTCTTTTCAAGTAAAGCCAGAAACCCAGATTCATATGTGAAATATCCTGATTTTAAGAGAAACAATTAATTTAAATTTCTCAGAAACACTGGGCAGCCCAGTGCCAATGCAGCTGCAGGCTGTGTTTGACCTGTGGGCCACCAGTTTGAGGCTCTGCTGTGGGCAGTGGAGGTGCTTTAACCAGGAGAGTAGCAGGTTCCCCTTTGTGTTGTATAAATGGGGCTCTGGCAGCCACGAGAATAACTGATAGGGGACAGCCATGAGATTGGGAGTGAGCCCCTTCCCTGCTCTGGACCCCAAGCCCCATAGCTACACAAGAGAAAGATGTCTAAAGTCTCCACCAGCACCAGAGACTGAAGACCCTCCTTAACTTCGACCTCGTCCTCTGGAAGTCCTTCTAAGCATCTAACCTGCAGTCCTCTAGCTAGCTGCACAACTCGTAAGCAACAGTTTGCTCCAGGCTGAGAACCCAGGCGCTAGAACAAAGACCCCACGCGCCCTGGGCTCCCCTCTGCAAACCAAACCGCCCACCACTCCCTCCAGGGAGGTTTTGATGGAGGTGCCAGGGACAGGACGCTAGCGGGCTGTCCATGACGCACTGTGCTGGTATGAGAGTTAATTACTACTTCACAAAGCTGGAGCCACCTGTGAATTATTCATGCATCCTCCATTGTCTGAGAGAGAGAGAGAAAAGGGATGGCTCAGAGGATGGCCGCACCCAGACTGGGGGGAGCTCCAGGCGCTGCCTCTCACTGCACACCCAGAAGGACCCGTTCCTCTTACTGCCCCCCAGGCCTGGCCTGGGCCCAGGTGGGGCTTGGTCTAGCTCACTGGGTGACCCCGGGCCCCTCCCTTGCCCTCTCTCGTCCTGGCAACACTTCTGGACCAGGTGGCATGCTCTGACATGGGGGTTGGATACCTATGGGGCATCTCCCGGACCCAGGCCCCTGTCACGTAACCCGGAGGGCAGTAAGGTGTGTAGGGATCAGGACCTTGGCCTGTCACAGGAGGCACGAGCTTGGGGAGAGAACGACCATGGCCAGAGTTAACTCCCAAGCAGACTGCAAGCAGGCAACTGCAGAGCACCGGCCACTGTGGGTGGGAGAGGCGGGCGGGGGCATGGGGTGTGACATTTGCCTGACCGTCTCTCTCACACACACACACACACACACACGCGCGCGCGCGCGCGCACACGGCTGCAGGGGGTGGATGGCAGATGCCCTGAGGACCACCTCCCAGCCCTTGTCGTGGCCGCTCCCTGAGGGCTTGGTGGGAGCAAAGAGGCCACTGGCCTTGTCCTGAAGAGTGGCACTCTTCAACTTCGCCTTCCTCGACGGCATCCGGAGCCCTCAGAACCTCCTGAGGGGTCCCAGAGGCCCTGTCAGACACCAGTTCAGTTCATGGGCCCAAACATCAACCTGCCTCCTCGTGGCTTTCTAGGAGGAAGGGGGGGCGCTGAGCAGGGGAGGGCAGCCAACTGCGTGCCTGGTGGGGCCCTGTGCCTGCTTCCCTGTTCCTGGGCGTTTCTGGCCTGCTCAGGGGGTTGGGGGCGGGAGTCACTCTTGGGAATGCTGGACTCAACCCCCACCAGCCCGGGGTGCCCTGGAGCAGACCTGACTCTCTGGAACGGTCCTGCTGGCCCTCGAGGTCCAGGCCCAGCCCAGGGGGCGGTCTGAAGCCCAGGCCTCTCCCACTCCTCCCCACCCGACGGAGCTCAGCCCTGGCCCCAGAGGAACCCGTCCTCCCGCAGCACACAGCGATGCCTCCCTCCAGCCTGGCCCTGGCACCCTGGGACTGCACTGGACAGACGGGGACGGGGGACCAGGAGGGAGATGTGAGCACAGGGGATAGCACAGGGGCCCAGGGAGGGAGGGGCGGCTGTCCCAGGGGGTCTCCCACTCCTGCTTCCCCCCAGCTGGGCTACTGGCACTCGCATTTCCACAGCCTCCCTAGACTCTGACAGCAGCCTCGTTACAGGAGACTGAGGCCCTGGGGGGCAGACGCTTGTTGGGGGGCAGGCACCCACCCTGAGGCCTCCTCCCCGCGACCTCACCCCCACCTCCCTCAGCCTCTTCCCTTCGCAGGAGCTCAGTCTCCTCATCTGTAAAATGGGCGCTTTGGGCCTGGTGACCCCCAGGGCCCCTTCCCGATTCCCCCGGGCCTTCTTCCCTCTCCGTGTGCTGCATCCTCCCAGCCTCTGGCCTGGATTCCCTTTGGCTTGTAACCAGCTGTGCCACCTCAGGCAGGACTTCAGCCTCTCTGAGCCTGGTCACTCCTTTGTACACTGGGGTAATGTTCCTTGCCCTGCTGACCTCGGAGCCCGTTGTGAGGGTTCAACGTTATCAAGGATGGGAATGTGCCTTGAAGCCATGAGGCTCCCTGCAGATGTGCAGAGAGAGATCATACAATTCTGGGGTCTCAAAGCACAGCCCAGCTCTGCTTTGTCTGTCTACCCAGTGTAATTTCGTATTTGACCGCCATTAGGCAGAGCGCGCACCGTCCAGTTCGCCCCAAGCCTCCCCTCGGCCTGCTCTCTTAGACCAGCCAGCCGTGTCTTATGTCTACCTTTGTGTCTGGCCCTGAGTTTTAGGGTATCAGAGTCCTTACTCCCAGCTGGAAGCTTCTGGGGTCCTGTGGTGCCTCCAGACAGGGAAACCACACAGCTGGCAGGAGGCCCGGCCGGCTGCCTCTGCCTCCTGCCCCGCTCCCTGCACCCTTCAATGCCAGGGCACCCCAGCCTCCTGGGCCCGCAGCTGGGAAGGGGCCCCCAGGTGCTGACTGCGGCCACGGCTTACCACCAATTGCTCCCATTGATTCTGAAATGGCCACAGGTTTTCCCTTTTTCTGTTTAGAAATTTGCTGAGGCTCCCCCAGCCTGGGCCCCCCCAATCCAAACCCTGCCTGTGCTCCTCAGACCTTAAAGAATATTTAACCACCTGTTAAATGATTTATCCCGTTGAGGCTCCAGAGCTCAGGGCATCTCACGGGCCTCCTCGAGAATTAACTAGAGCCATAAATCAAAACGACGTTTGAGAAATTTCCAGCCGCCCCAGACAGCAGGCAGTGTGGCTCGGGCCCAGACAGGGGAAATGGCATTTAGATGGGGGGAAATGGCACTCAGGCTGGAGAGGCGAGGGTGCTGGCTGCGAGCAGCCTCCAGGCCAGATCAGAAGGAGGTGCTGGGCCAAGGACGTTCTGCTACGAGAGGGCTCTGCCGGGACGCCAGCAGGTCCCCTCGGCTCTTTTTGTCAAATGCAGGCGGCACCTTAACTCCTCACCCATCCAGTCGGCGAAGAGCTTGCCCCCTGCTGTCTCATCTGATTTCAAAACAGCCCACAGGACCGGCGCTGGGAGTGAGTACAATTAAGCCTAACGACGGGATTCTGGGCATCTGCCACCGGCGGCGGGGGCAGTCTTGACTTGTGGCAGCCCAAGAGTGACAAGAGTGGCGGGACTTAAGGACCAGACAGCGACTTGAGTTGAGGCATGGAGGAAAAGGAGACCAGGAGAGGCTGTGGTTGGATTCGGGGTTTGGCTCGAGGAGGGCGCGGAGCGAGACTAGAAGAGGTTGATAACGAGTTCCAGCCACGTGCTGAGGCCAGATCCAAGTGGCAGAGACCATTCTGTGCTTTTCTTCCCCACTATCACATCTGCCAGAAATAAAAACAAAATGTACTGGGACTTAGTGTGTCTGTCACTCGCTAAGGGCCTCACCTGCGTCGTGGCCTGGAGTCCTTACAACAGCCCCGGGAGGTGGCCCTCTTATTCTCTCCATTTCATAGATGAGGAAACCGAGGCCCCTGCATGCCAGCTAAGGGACAGCTCCAGGGTTCACACGCCGGCTGCCTGACCCCAGACCTCCATCTGCGCCCACCACACCTACAGCCTCCTGTGTCTGGAGACTCTGTGTGGAAGGTTCGGTGGCACAGAGTGCTGAGCGAGGAGGCTGCAAGGAGCCCTGGGGGTCCCATGGGCCCCTTGTGCCAGAGCTGTGGGCCGCAGGCCTCAGGGACCCCAGGCAGCCAGCCACTGTCGGCTCCAAGGCAGAGGGGTGGGGCCGCAGCCTGGGCTCATTTCCATCCAGGAGGGCACCCCCAGGGAGGCATCTGCACCCCACTGTTTCTGTGCAGTGGTGAAGGGTTGCCCTGAACCACCCTCGCTCCCGTCTCTTAGGGTGAAGTCTCGGGCCCCAGCCATGAGGGCCTCCCCGTCGAGGCTGGGAGCCAGGGTCCAGTGGATGAGGTGCCGTATCTTCGGGAAGAGACGTGACTTTCAATATTCCATCCCTTGTCCCCGTAACTCTTGACATGTTCTGGAAATGCCAACATTGGGCACCCAGGTTTTCTCTCCCAGACTGCTTCACCCCAAGTGCAGAACAAAAATCCCCTTTTGATTCCTGAACCCCAGTTTGTGATTTGGAAAATTTCTAATTTGGAAGGAGATGTGTAAAGGCCTGCTGGAACCAGCGTGGTTGCCCAGTGGCCTCTGTCCGTCACTCAGTGTTGCGGGGGTGGGGGAGGAAGTGACATAAAACATTAACGCCCCAGGAGCAAGGTGGGACGAGGCACCCTCTGGCCCAGGCGGTAGCCTCGCCCCCATCTCTCCCCTCACCCCATCTGAACCTCCTCGAGCCTCAGGATCCTCCAGCCCCACCGGGGATGGCCTGAGGGTGTTGTCTCCAGGAGGCTGGGATGAGCCACGGCTCGTCCCACAGGGCTGTGGGGAGGGGTCTCTGCAGGTGGCGGGCCCTGGTACAGCAGCCTGTCAGGTCAGGTCTGGCCCACGGCACCCTACAAAGCAGGGCTTGGACATGCCCTCCCCCACCTACCCCTGCCCAGAGTGTAAATTCCGCCAAGTTCACAGACCAGCGCCCCCTAGTGTCTGCTCAGAGCACATCCCGGGACCCCCAGGCTTGGAGCCACTCACCCACCGGGCGAAGGGGCATGAGAGGAGGGCAGGGTATGTTCCCCACCCCACCTGCCCACCCAGTGGGCTTCATGCTGCCCTCTTACCACCTCCTCACGCTCCGAGCCCAAACCTTCCACCAACTGCTCTCTTCCCTCCCCCAGCGGATCCTTCCCATTCTATGACTCGGTTTCTCAGGCCAGATCCCAGCTGGTCTTGACTCAGAATGTCAGGGCCAGAAGGGGCTCAGGGACCCCCTGACATTGCAGCTGTGAAGACTGAGGCGACAAGGGCAAATGACGTCAAGGTCCTCATCCCAGGCACACAGCGAATGCTCGATTGGCCAACGGGGCCAGTGCCTGCTTCCTGGAGCCTCAGTCCTGCCATTGCTGAGGCAGCTGCGGCACTGGGCTTACCTCCCTCCCACAGGCCGCAGCTCCACCCCTGCCCACAGCCACCTCCCAGTCCCCAAGCTACAGGCCACGCCAGGGCTTCATGGATATAGGGAGTCCCACTTCTGCCTCTGAGGCCCTGTGAGCAGACTTAGGAACTGATATGCAGGGCGCTAGCTTTCCAGACAGAGGGAGCTGGGCGTGCAAAGGCCCCACACAGCCCAGGGGACCAGCGAGGCCTCTCGCCTGGAGTAGGTGAGTGTGCTGGGCCCCTAGAGTGGACTCTTAAAGTCTCCACTCTGAGCGACTGTATCACAACACTCCATGTGGGTGGAAATGATTCAAGGGGCTTCCAGATGAGTGAAGAGGAAGGTCATCCCCATGTTCACCTGTGGGCCGCATGGCCATCCTCTGTCCCCGCCAGGACAGGGGCAGGCCTAAAGGCTCGAGCAGAGCGGGGCAGGGGGCTGGGGTGGGCCTGATGCACCCACACCTGGACTCAGGCCAGAAAGAAAGGCCCTGCCATCTTCATGGCTCCTGTCAGTGGAGCTTCAGGGTCACCTGCACCGAAGTGGCTTTAAGAGGCTGACAGGCTCTGGCACAGCTCACTGGGCCTCCGAGTAACGTGCACGTGTTATTAGCACACTGGGCACCGGAAGGGAGGAATGGGGGCCAGCCCAGCTCTCCACCTTCACCTCTGGGTCCACGGTCAGTGGAACACTCCCCAGGGAGAGCCTGGCGCTCTGAGCTGGGCGCTGCAAAGGTCCCATTTAGTGCTCGCTGCAGTGGGAAGGGTCTCTGGAGCCCCTGGGAGGTGCTAGGGAGCAGGGAGGGGGTGGTGGTGGTTGGGGCCCCTCCCCGCTGCCCCTCAAGAGACTCAGAGGCAGCTCCAGGTCCCTTTCCACAGCCCCAGGGCTCAGAAGGAGTGGAGGAGATGCAGAGTCTGAACCAGAATCTCGCGAGGACGAACTTCTATGTTATTTGGGGGCATAACTGGAGGGGCTGAACTCACACAGAAAGCAGGAGGAACCCACTACCTGACACAGAAATGGACCTTCATAATTTCTAGCTTTAGAGGCTTATAGCTCGTCATGGAAATTTTGCATCAGTTCTGTCTTTTGCTGGCATAATTAAAGATGATAACACATGGAGAGCATTAGCAGCCAGACTAATGCAGGAAGCACTCAGCGTGGTGGCTAGTGTTGTTCTGTGAGAGCTGCAAGGACACAGGACAGAGTGACGACCCCCTGTCCACAATCAAGCCCCTGTTCACAGGAGGCTGGAACTGAAAGAGGCAAAATGCCCGGACAGAGCCAGGACTGGAGTCCACACTCCCATCTCCCACCTTCCATCCTTCCTTGTGCTGCCACAGCTCCGGTCCTGGCCTTTAACACGGCGGTCCCTGATGCAGACCCCAACCCTGACCCCAGTCCTTAGCAAGCAGCATTCAGAGCACAAGTCCCCACCCTGGGCCAAAGCTTTGTTCCTAACCTTGAATTGACAGGAATGCTGGTTCTACCCAATCTCAAGTCAGATTTCAGTCTCTAAAACACTAACCCAGCCCTCCCCAGTCCCAGCCTGGGCCCCATGCATGTCAGTGTCCTGCCCAAGCCACATGACAAAGCCCTACCTGGGCCCAGGCCTGAGTCCAACTCCACTCCTGCCCCAGAGTGGGCAGTGTGAGGTTCAGAGAGGTTAGGTGACTTGTCTAAGATCACACAGAGTGAATAGCAGAGTTGAGCCCAGGTCCTTGAGGCTTTGGAGTTTCCTAGTGTGGGTGGGTAACAGGAGCCCTGGAAGGTGCCAGGGGGGATGGTGGGCACCCTAGGCCAGAGATGTTGACACGGGTACACCCCTGATGGTACCTGACCTCAAGGGAGCCCCACAGTGTCTGGAGAAGTCAGCAGCCCAGTGATCGTTAATCTTCATTTTACAGATAAGGAGACTGAGGCCCAAGGAAAAAGCCCAGAGTCACCCATCGGGCCTGTAGCAGAACAGTGCAGGAGCCCATACCCACTGACAGCCCACCCAGGGCTCTCCCACTGCCCCACACTGCCCTCTGCCCACTCCGTGGGGCTGGGCAGCAGAGTCGGCGTGGAGGAAGAGATGCAGCAGGAAAC